CCAAATCAAGATAAAATATTTTTTGAAATAAAACTAAAATACATTGTAGTAGATGCTTGATTTTAGTATATGATTTGTTTTTTATCTATACTTTGTTAAAATGATTTATTATGAAAGATTTTTTGTGAAGCCCTCAACTCAACTGGTTTGGTGCTGTTCTTGGGGAGGTCCAACACCCTTGAAGCCCCTACCAATTGGTTGAGGATGATGGTGCAGGTAGTGAGAGGAGTCACAACCTTTCACTGCCTATGAGGTCATGCCTGTGCTTTGTGGCCTAGAGGGCAGAACTTCTGTAGCCCCAGGGGTGGACCATGCACCGTGATGGAGGGGTAATGTTTTCCAGTCAAGGGGTGGACCTTCAGATGTCAGGGATCATATGATAAAAGCAGAGGATTCTAGGACCAACATGGCAGTGAGCAGGCCAAAGATTTGGTGTCAGGTGGATGGGCCTTCTTATATCATGGACCATATGGCAGAGCAGAACCACCGGTTCCAAAATGGCAGACTTGCCAAAAGGAGTACTTCCACGGCAAGGGGAGGGACTTCCAATGGCAAGGGTCAGGGGTTAGGGATGGGACTTAGAGTCTCAAGTTAGCAACCAGGGGGCAGGGCACCTTCCAAGGGGTGGGGCTTAGCAGCTTGGTAAGGGGTGTACTCTTGCAGCCCTCAACAGCTCGCCAAAACTCATTAAGCACTGCCAACCCCTGCCAGTCCACCTTGGCCTTTACCACTTTGAATAATTTTATGTCATCCAGAAGTTTCACCACCTCATTACCCACCCCTTTTTCCAGGTCATTTATGAATATTTTAAACAGCACTGGTCCCAGCACAGATCCCTGGGAGACCCCACTTTTTACTTCTTTCCATTCTGAAAACTAACCATTTATACTCACTCTTTGCTTCTATCTTTAAGTTAATTTCTAATCCATGAGTGGGCATTACCTGTAATCCCATGACTATCTGACTTCATTGAGAGCCTCTGATGAGGGAAAAAAGCACTTTCTGGTTGTTTAAATATGTTTATAACAGGAAGAGAAGGAAAAACAAACAGACAGGGATGTGATAAAAATATTAACAAACAAACATCCCTGAAATATTTATTTTTGTCTTGTGCATGTTCTCTTCTTGCCCTTAGGAAGCTATTAGCTGAGGATAAACTGAGTGAATTCAGGTAGAATATGTTGTTAATATATTTCTGCCTTCTAAATGACAATTAAAAAAATACTTTTCCTATCACCTATACATTAACCCTTTTCACCTCTGTATCTCAACTGACTTCATTCCCCCTTGAGTGCACAAAATTGGTAATTTATAATATATGAATTACATGTGGGTGTCCAGGATGATTTCATAAGTGGAAGAATGTTATTTCATTAGCAATACAGATATTAAAATGGTGTGGTAATACTACCTCTTTTTCCCCACCTTTCCTGTTTTTAAACTCTAAACATTTGGCATTAAGGATTGTCTCTCACATGAGTTTGTCCTGTGCCTTGCAAAATACGGCTCCAGTCTCAGCTAGGGCCTCTAAGCACTACTGTAGCAGAAATAATATTCTCATACCTGTAGCTCTGATAGGCTGGGTACAGACATTAAGGGAGGTTAGATCAAGTTTAAAATCCTGATCTAAGGTAAGTTGGCATGGTGGGGCTATGAGAGGGGGTTGGTGGATCAGGGGAGGATCAGAGGAGCGGGAAGGGTCTGCAGGGGGTTGGTGGGGTCCAAGAGGGTTTGGGTGGATCAGGGGAGGTTTTAGGGTCCACATTGGGGCTTGAGGAGGACCAGGGACTCCCCAATCCCCCTGGTGAAGCTTTTCCCCCCTGTTGCCTGTCCCTCCTCCTACAGGACTATTTTTAGCCCCATAACCTCTCCTAGTGAACCTGCTCCACCATCCTGCCTGCCCATCCCCCCAGCAAGCCTTACTTCTTTGGCTCCCAGCATTGGCAAATACTGACAAAACCAGCACCAGGAGCAGATGGTGGGATTGGGGGGTTACGGGGGGAGGGGAGTGGGCCCGGGGGATAAAAATAGCATGGTGCCAGGGGGTCAGGTATGAAAGACTCAGCCTCAGGGCTGGGGCCAGAAGCTGCACTGGAAACTGTACAAAAGTTTGGGAAAGTTAGATCATTTTAAAAATGGCCGACTCAATCTCATTTAAACTACCTCTGAGGTAGGGTTAACTTCGATTGGGCCTTTTAGACTGATCTAACCTTCCTGGAACTTCTGTACAGTTCACACTTAAATAGACCTAACTAGGGATCTAAGTGTAAGATCCATACTGGGGCAAACTAGGTTAGGTCGCATTGCCATTTTTAACGTAATCTAACCTCCCCAAATGTCCATATGCACCCATAGTATTGTCCTCTTGTAACCACAGTTATATATATATAAAGAATAGTATTTTATAACAGATGCATTACTGCACCTTGGGGTAAAGACTCAGACCTCCCAGTAAGTCTTTTTACCACCACCACCCGCCAACTATCTCTGTCATGTTGACAATGACCCTTGTTGGTAGTATGGGAAATCCACAGAAGCTGACCTTGGAAAGTCTGTTTCACTTTTCTAAAAGTACCTAATTTAGACTATATTGAAGGTATGCTGCTCTTTTATTGTCTTTAATGGGTTTGCAGCAGAGCTGAGGGGGGAATGTTTTTGCTGTCCTGTGAAAATCTTTGAGTTTTCAAAAATATTTCTGTTCTCAGCTGGGATGAATCCCAAGACCTTTTAAAGACTTGTGTGTGTGCAAGAGAGAGAGAAAAAGAGAGAACACCACATGCCAAAATATCCAGCTCCTAGGCAGCCTTGGGAGACCAAATTTCATGTCTTTGTTATGAATGAGTCAAAATAATGACTTGAATGAACCAGTTTTCTATGTGACATGTAAGTGTCCTGATTACTAGGTTATTGCTTATCCTGTGGAGGATGAGTCCCTCTTTCTTCTTGTGATCAGAATTCTCATTACTGTTAGAAAAGTTCTGATTGCTCTAGCTTGGGGTCAGGCCATAATCTGCTTTTTTGTACTTGAAAAAATATAGAAAATAGTATCTAGAGAAGGAAAAATAATGTAAGAATAAAATCTCTGGCAGGGCTTGAAGTGCTAGATTTGCAACATATTTTAGATGACAGATACATGTGAACATCTGAATTGGAGACCAATTGTATTTTGCAAATTTTCCTAATGCATCAGTATGATAAATAGCTGTGCTAAACAACCAACTATTGATCTAACCTTAGTCTTACATAATCCTCAAAACATCATGCCTTTTGGGTGTGCAAGAGAAGGTTTGTTGACTGCACATTAAGATAAAATGAGAAGAATATGGTACACACATACTGGACACATCTACACAAGACATTCACTGCACAGCTGAGTAATTAGCTCTGCATAAAGATCGTAGCATCTACATATGCATTCCAATTAGGCTGGAGTAAGCTAATTAACTCTGCCACAGGGTAGTACTAGTAAATACAAGTTCTATCCTGCTGCTAAGTAAAAAACTCCACAGTAGTGTCTGTGTAGATGCTGGCTGAGGGTGCTTCAGTTTGGAGGCTGCCTGCTGGCTAGCCCTGCACTGGCCAGCCCTGCACCAAAGCTCCCTCATACCCCACCCAGCCCCTCTGCAGTACATTGAGCCTAGGGGAACAGTTCCAGGAAGGCAGGCTGACCCCCAGGTCCCTTGCAGCCAGGGCCAGTCCAAGGGTAACTGGCGCCCTAGGTGAACTGTGTACCTCATCGCCCCTACCACTTCCAACATAGATGAAATTAAGAAGTCTAGAATGAACTTTTACATGTACTTATTTGATATTTCTCCCTTTACCAAAACCAAAGGTCTTAAACCAAGGTGGAGCTGTAGGCGGCCAGGACTGTTATTTAGAATGATGTTCCTGTTGTTTTGTTCTGCGTACAGTGTTGGCACCCCCCACATTTTGGGTCCCTAGGTGACCTGCCTAGTTTGCCTAATGGTTGGACTGGCCCTGTCTGCAGCTGGGGCTGTTCCACCCAGTTTCCACATGCTGTGCCTAAATAAACTGTGGAGTTTATTGCTCTGGAGTTAATTGCTCCCAGGTACATGTTTAAACAGTAGGCCTGAGAGCAATTAATTCTGAAACAATAACCTTCATAATTTATTCAGGGGCTGTAATTGCACATGCCGATGCACCCATTGTCATACTTTTCACTGGTCCCCTTCCTTCTCACTTTATATCCCAACATGTTTGTGATCCTTCTATGTTGTTCTCTCTTGCTCAGTTGTAAATTATTTTACATCTGACCTGTAACCTAATATACAATTATAGGAGGATAAAGGAATATGGTGAACCAGGCGTGACAGCTAAATAATAAATGGAATAATAAATGGTTACTTTTATTTGTACTGACTTTTTATTATATATTTTACAAACACCCAGAACATTTTAGATAGGTATAATATGCTAATTGAATTAATAAATACATGAATACACAATATTATTTATTCTTTAAAACTCTTGCTTTCTTATCCATATCTTGTGTCTTCCACTTTGGGTTTCTACACCATTGTTAGAGGTCTGAAAATTTAGAAAGAACTGGTTTAAGATTAATATCAATAGCTATGCTTTTATTGGCATTATAAATAATATGCCGTCAAAGTGAAAGTATTTGAGCATACAGCAGTATGCAAAGGAATAAATATATTACATCATATTACACTGTCACACCTACTTAACAGCAGTGTGTTGTGTGCATAGAAATGCAAAATATAGTCATATAAAAAACAAGATGGTTTCTAAAGAAATTACTGTCTCTTTAGGCTTTTTTCTCTTCTATAAATGGTTTTTCATTCTTTTGCAAAAATGTCACATGCAGTTTGATCGGAAGTCCCCTTTCTTTTACAATTGAAATCTTTTCAATGGAAAAGAACCCATGTTGAGAAGACAGTTCTCAAATCTAATTTTAAAAATAGAGAAATGTGTTCATTTTAGTATTCCTAAGAATATTTCACACTTCCATCTATTTACAGATGGCAATCTGTCATTGGGGATCTCCTCCATAACACCTGTGTGTTAGCAGTATTCTTTGCATGGAAGGCCGACCTTCAAATAAGGTATATCAAGTGCATAATGAAGAGTAATGGGCAGTGACATGTTTTTTCCAGTTACATGATTCAGTGCATCATGATATTTGATAGCCTGTTCATGCACGCACTTCATCCTACACTCAAGATTCCCACAGATTTCACCAAGTATTTAATCAAAATGACCTGTAGGCTCATTCTGTAACATAAATCACTGTAGACCTCTTAATTGTGATGTGATGGCCTTATCTTGCTTCATGAATGAAAGTAAAGAAGCTAAAAAAGCTAGTTCATCAGAGAGGCTAACAGTTCACTGCAAATTTGTCAGTAATCTAAAGGGTTTGCTTGCAATGCAGAGGGTTTTAATAAGTGACAAATAGAGCAGGCTGACCACTAGGCCGTAGGAACATGTGGCTCCATGGCACATGGCACAAGAAAAACCTTCAGCCTCCAAAAACCGTCAGACTGAATAGGGAAGCAGCTCTTCTTTATGCTATGTTGCCATCGATCTTTTTCTCGGTGTTTATTGAAATGAAATGTTTCTTGATAATTAATTACATAAGAAATGCTGCAGCTTAAGCAGCTTCTAATGATGGGAAGGAGCCAGCACATTTGTGGCGATGGAAAGGCAGAAAGAGACAATGAACTTTCTTAGCAGTGTGAAGTCTGCCAGTGACCCACAATGGCATGTCTTTAATTATAACTCTCTTTCTAATTCCAGCTTCGCTGGTTCAGTACTTAATTCTGCTTAAAAATTTCTTTTGCTTGGGTTCCATTTTGCTGGCATTTGGAAATTTGCTCTGACTTCTCACTAGTGTGGATTACTAGATTACTTTTTTAAAGTTTTACTTGAAAGGGCACAAGAAATTACTATGCTATTTTAGTTAAAAAATAAATGTGAACAAAACTGCTCTTGACAGTTAACAGATATGAAATACACTTGACTTCTAGGCTATTAAAGTAAAGCAACAAAATGTTCCCAGCAGTTGCTTAATGCAATTACTTGATTAGAGAAAGGCATTTCATTTCTTAACCACTACAAGAATATGCAATATAGCTGTCAATAATTTTGCAGCGAGGGCTCTAGTCTGGTGGTCAGCATCTGACCACATCTTTACATGGTCATTAACGCATTTCCATCAGTGCTTAGAAGTGCACCCAGTGAAACCTTGGCAATCTTAAGGGATTTCACTGGTACGCAAACGACCTTTTCCTTTATCAATTTTCAGAATGTTTTTTCATTATGGGATATGCAGCACATCATAATGTTTTACATCAGGCATTCATTTAAGTCATATCGTGTTATTTTGAGACTGCCTGTACTCCTGACCATCTCTTGACTCTAGTAGCCTAGGTACTGATGAGATGCCTTCTTATATGAGATCATTACCAACTAGAGGAAAGGCCTCAGTATGTTGCACATCAAATTTATACTGTGAAGTGTAAAAATGTGAGTTGTCTTTCGTGAGGCTTGTGTCATAACAAGTAATTACTGTTTCATTGATTTGATGAATTAGTACTGAGTTGCTACGCGAGAGAGAGAGTCCTATGATGGAGAGTCCTAAAGACAGCCCTGGTTAATTTCCAGGAGGGTCGGGGGGAAGCATTTAAATGGCATTAGGGTCAAAATTCACTCGACCCACAGAAAGTCAGGTTTATGTCAGTGAAATATGTTAAATTAGTGGACACAGTATATGAAGAGCACCTCCAGTTTGGGGACAGGACAGAGCTTCAGGCTGCCCTAATCTATAGTCACTATGGATTGTCACTCTGGATAGTCACTCTGTCCACTTGCAAAAGCTTTCAGGGATGCTGCTAAACAAGTGTGATTCAACACATATATGTGTCTCCCCAGCTCAGTCAACACTGGTCCAGGTGTTTGCTGTTATTTATTTGTACATAAATAATAGCACATGCGAGTCTTAGCCATGGGCCAAGAGATTTTTATGTCTGACAGTGTACAAACACTAAACAAAAAGACAGTTTCTGCACAAAAAGCTTGCACTCTTTAAGTATAGAGGGCAGGTCTGTGGTCCAAAGACTTTGGAGCTCTCCTTGTGCTGTATTATCATGATGCGATATTAAAATCTGTGTATTCTGAAATAAGATTAGTCAGGAAATTCAGTGTGTAGGCTGTTGTTCCATTCCTGGGTATAGTGCTAACATAATATCTTTTTTTCATTATAGTGCCTTTTGTCCAGGTTATTTAAAACATTTTATAGGAATTGATTTTCTTTAGCTTTACAAAATCTCTGTGATACAGGAAATGTTTACCTGTATTTTACTGATGGATAAATAGAGGCATGAGAAATTTAAATGACATGCCCCAAGTTGCATGGTATCCTATGGTTAGAGCAATATACACCCCAGAATGTACAAAATTCGGAGTTTTGTTCTAATTAAGCTCAATTGACCTAGATGCTCCATCACACACAAATATACAAGGTCTGCTGATTTTCCCAAAAATAATAGCTGGGCACAATGAGCTGAGTTACAAGCAGTGAATTAAAATAGCCCACAGAACTTTTTTGTCCTTTTTTTAAACACAAGCACTACATCTTATTCTTATCCTACTTGAACACTTAAGTCACATGCAAACAAGCACAGCTGTGCGGCATACAGTGCTGCAAACCTGTCTGTAGCACCACATACCGCACAGTCAGGTGTTCTTCGTGTTGCAAGGGAGCATTGTGCATGTGTGCGCTGCTCCATTTTTATTTTTCCAAGGTTTTTTTTGACCCCTGGGGAAAAAACCCATGGAAAAATTAAAATGGAGCAGCGCACACACAGGCAGTACACACTGCTGAAAAGCAGAGCCAGGCCACCCAGAGCCATGCTGCAGCTGCCAGCCAGGTTCCACCTGGCAGAATCACCACTGCTGCAGCCTCGGGAGCCCCCCTGGACCCTAGGTAAAGCTGCTGGGAACAGCCCAGTGCTGGCCCTAGCATCACCTACTGCCCCAGGGTAACTTGCTGCGCACCAAAGCATGCGTGGCAAGACCATTCCCTTGCGACAGATAGCTGTGGCACAAGGTGCACCAGTGCTACTTGTCCCTGGGGAACCAGACATCCACGCTCATTTGAATGCGGCCTTAAAGAATTAAATCAAATGAAAATATCACTAAGTCCTACCTCCTGGGTATATTTGTTTTCAACACTGAAAGTTAGGATCTTTAGAAAGAAATAGCAACTGAACCTAACCTGAAATTTAAAGTTTAAAAGAAAATTATGCTCAAGATTATTTCCATATGGGGCAACTTGGTGCTTTTTCCAGTACCAATTTCTTCATAAATACTGTATATCAGGGATGTCAAACATGTAGACTTCAGACTGGATTTAGCCCACAAGGCCTATCTATCTGGCCTGCTGGGCAACCAGCAGCCTACCAGAAGCTTAGGGCATGTGACCTAATGCAGAATCTGGAACCTTTTGGTCCTGATAGCCATGGCCATCAACAGTGAGGATGGCTTGCGACCACAACCACCCATGTGTAGGGAGCCTGGGTCACACAGTGCCACATCACTGTTGGCTGTGCCTGCAGCACAGCCACAGCCACGCCGCCTGCTGCTGCTGGCACTGCAGAGGCTGGGTGAGGGGGCAGGCATGTGGCAGCCCCTGCTTGAGCCCCTCCACAAGACCACCCACAGATGGGACATCCCAGACCCTCCCACTCCCGACACCCCCAACATCCCTCTGCCACTCTTCACACCCACCCCCACCCATAACCCCCACCACCCCAACATCCCTACCTTACCTGTGACAGTGCCCAGGGCATCAGGAGCACCATACAGATGCTCTGGCCAGAAACCAGAGCATCTTTCTCAGGGGACCGACTCCCAGGTTGCCTCAGGAATCTGCTTTTTTGCCTGGGTTTTATTTTGGTACCTGGATGTCCAGGTACCAAATTTGAGCTCACACTGCAAATATGTAGCATGGGGAGCATTTTTTTTGTTCCCAGTGTGTGTCTTTCAGCATCTCAAACTCCTTTGAGACACCGCAAGAGGCACACGCATGCTTATCTGGATATGCCCATAGTGTCCAATGAAGATCACAAACCCATTGTACCAGGCTGTTTTATAAATACACAGTAAGGATATGTTTCTGCTTTTCAAGAGCTGTAATGATCCTGCAAAGACTTTTGCAAATGGAATCAATGGAACTATCTATGTCTGCTTAAAGTTAATCTTGTCAGGGGCATAACAAGCTATTTTTGTGCCCCAGGAAGTGGTCTTTCTTGTGCCGTTCTTGTGCCTCCTCTGAATCAGCACCCAGAGCTGGTGCCCCATTCTCCCACCAGTGGTTATGCTACTGAAGTTCATGCATAAGTCTCTGCAGGACCAGAGATAAAATATTTTATAATTATATGAACTCTTTTACACATTAATTTCTGTACTGTTTTTGGCCTGTGAAACAGTGCTGGTCCTATTAAAGGTTGCCTGTGTTCCCTCATAACATATTGATCTTTCTGTAAGTAATCTGTCAATATTTCTGTGCGTGTTGTACTGGAGATGATGGCAGGAACATCTGTTAAAAGAATGGTAAAAAAAACAATAATTCATAGCATTATGTAGTACATGTATAATATTATCTACCACAGTGTAGCCTCTAGAAATTTCTGTAGTAATAAAAATAACCGTAGTAGCAGGAGTAACATTTCCTTCGCACAATGCTGATCCTATGGGATTCTATAAAACTTCTACTGTCGCTAAAATTAACTAAAAGTAAGGTCTTTCACAAGAACCAAAACAGATTGTTTTTTTAGTTTTGACAAAGAAGTGAAGAAAATGAAAATTCCTACAGGGATGACCCAAACCATTTTGTTCAACCTAAAATACAGTGTTTCATCTCATTTGGGGGATATTTCATCTTTTGGTTTGTTTGCTTTTTACATGTTTCTTTTCGTTAAAGAAATTTATGTCCATTTTGAAACAAAAAGTCCTGTTTTGAAACAAAAAGTTAAAATGTTTTGAAGGTGTACAAACCCAACATTCCTCAGTTTCCAAAATAAAACATTTCACTTACAAAAATTGAAACAAAACATATTGACAGTTTCAAAA